ATAATCGCTAAAGATCTTAATGCGCAAGCTAGTTCGAATACTTTTGTTGATTGGGGGTTCGTCAAGTAAATAAACAAACTATTGTTCTAAATCAAGTAATTAAAAGCACTAGGGAATGAGATCCACTCAACCATGGCAATTAGGCATATTGGGAGTAAAAGAGACAAGAGATAGCAAGGACTATATGTAAGACCAACCTCATGCAATTAGGAAAACAACTCACACTCCTAAACATAGATTCCTCATTAGTTTAGCAATAGGAGATACATAATCAAACTGCAATAAGTAATGACATACTTAATCTACATTTCCATGTCAAACTAAGTATAACATGCCATCAAGCTCCAAACTCAAGGGTAGCTACTCCTATCATGAAGAACTAACAAGCAATCTCATACAATCAATTTAATCACAAATCAAACATCAAAACTTCTCCCAAGTTTACTTAATTAACCATTAGGTTGAGTTTCACCCAACCCCTAGCAAGGAGGACTACTCACAATTTATTGCGAGTAACATGCAAAGTTCCAAGTTGGGATTCTAAGTAATTTTAAAATTGGGGAAAAGTGATTCACTATGGATAAAACTAACATGCAACAACAATTTATCAAGATTAAGAGAGATTCAAGTGACTTGCAATAACAAAATATAATCAGAAAATAAGTAGAGACAAGTGAAAGAAGTTACTATTGAAGCTTCAAATGTTTAATAAATGCTGAAAATCTGAAAATGAAGCTTGAAGTTCGCTTCTACAATGATTAGATTTGAGAGTTTCCAAACTAAATCATCAACTAATTTAATGAACTAAGGTGCTAACTAAGAGGAAGTTTGCTGAAAACTATTCTAAAAACTGCTTGCTAAAAATGAACTAAAGGGTAGTATTTATACTCCCCGAATTACATAGGGAAGTTCGTCAAAAGTAACCCGGATTCTAAGTCAAGAGCGCCCGCTCCTCCAGCTAGGAGCGCCCGCTCCATAATCTTGCACGCCCGCTCCCCTGTTCTTTAAAGATTGGCATATTCAAAACTCCAGGGAGGAGCGCCCACTTCTCGCAGGATGCGCGCCCGCTCCTCGTTGAGGCAGATTCTAGCAAACCAGCTAGGAGCGCCCCCTCCATTATGACTACACGCCCGCTCTAGCTGTTCTCAAAGTATAGGCAAAATGTTGAAGCCTTGGAGGAGCGCCCGCTCCAACTCAGGTGCACGCCCGCTCCTCACAGGTTCAAAAACATGGCAGAATTATGTAAACTTTGCAAGAGCGCCCGCTCCACCAGGAGCGGCCTCTCCCTCCATCACATTTGCCTCTAGTCTTGAACCATGAACTTTGTTTGCTTGTCAAAGCTAGATTTATACCTGCAATCATGGACAAACACATACAAAGGGGTGGCAAAGCCAAGATATAACATTTATATACAAAAAGGGGGTTAGAAAGAGGGGGAAAAATACAAAATCGGGTTAAAATCACCACTATAAGTGGTCAAATAAACCACTTATCAAAGACCTATACTGATCCTGTTCCTCTGGCCTCACTCTCTGCTCCTCTGTATGTTTTCCAGCAACATCCTTCTTAACAAGTCTAGCACCATTCTCATCATGCATAACCTCGAACTGACAATACGATTCATTGTGGCCTAATTTGCCACACTTAAAGCAAATTTGCTTTAATCCCTCATATTGAATGCACCATACTCTCCCATTCAAACCGAATTTGGACAATAAAGGCTTGGAAAGATCAACTTCAATGCTAAAGCGCACATATTGATCCCTACTCATGGATCCAGTGCTGTTATCAATACTAATAACCTTTACTATTTTCGATCCAATTTTATAGAGAAATTGTTTGTCAAAGTACTCGACTGAAAGTTGAGGGATCCTCACCCATGCTGTTAAATACTTGATCAGTGCTTCATCTGCAACAAAGTGGATCCACTTACGAATCGTGAAGTAGCTATCTCCAATAATCCAAGGTCCTTAGGTCAAAACAAAGTGATAATCCTCCATGTTCGTGAACCGAGCTATATAATAAGATAGCCCACATCTGTCAAGGAGATGTCCCCTTTTAGACTCCATTTGATTCTTAGACGCTTAATAAGCACCTCATAACTGAGTTTCTTATCAAAAAGTTAAATGATTAGAGCATTCCTCCACGGAGCTCTCAATCTCCTTTTTTCCTCTTTTGATAGGAGAAAAGTAGGACATGACTCATCATTAGAATCGCAGTCATAGGCTATATCATCATCAGAAATAGAATCTTCCACCTGCTCCCGTTCCAGAAATCTGCTATAACCTTTGGTGTTACCACTGGCCATTTTACTGTATGAAACCCTATGTTGAGTTTCTTGAGGGGCCTCCGGAGTTTCCGCCACATATGACCCCATTTCAACATCTTCAACATGATGAGAATGAGAGGGGTTTTGCCTTGGTGATTCTCAGGAGTTCTTTTGAACTTCTTGTTTGACCTAAGCATGAGGTCTTCTTCTTCAGAAGAAAGCGCATTCTCTCTTCGCTCGCTCACTCTTCCGCTCTCCATTGTTACGTAAAGCAGGAATTTTCATAAGGTAGGGATTAAATAATTGTTATGTATTTGCAAATACATAATCATACTATATTAATTAATACTTCCTCGTTTTTTCTTAACTCTTTATAAGGTGCAATTTTATTAGACGTGTGTACAAAATATCGTACATCCGTTGTAGATATATATCGTAAAATGATTAAAAATTACCCCAATATAAACAAAAATTACAAAAAAAAAAAGATTTATATTTTATCGATATAATTATCCTCTTTAAATGAGTTAATATCATATTTCAATGAGTGATTATTATTGATATACTCCACTTTAAAATCATACTAATAATGAAGTTTACCCAAAAAAAAAAGCTAAAAATTACCCTAAATTAGCTAATTTTTTTTTTAAAACTATTTGATGTACAACGAAATTCTTATAAATCGGATGTACACAAAACATTTTGTTCCTAACTTTTCTTACATTTTAATTGAATAAGGTTAAGAAAAGAGGATCCTACACGATTTTTGGATTGTTTATACACATTCTAATCAAGGAAATTTCCATTCACCTTCCTTGTATCCTCGTTTTGATTTGGCTTTGTCGTATGATAACAACTTTCGCTCAAGTTAATTATTCTATATATGCTTCAAGCACGTGTTATTAGCTATTACTAAGAGTTATGTGTATAACTGTATATAAGGCCTTGTTCACTTCTCGTTAAATTTTCATTCATTTTTCTTGTATACCTCTGAGATTCAAAGTAGAATCATTATTTCAAAGGGCTCTCATGTGAGGGGGTATGATGAAGTATAAAACATATTTTTGGACTTCAAATATAAGCGTAAGCTAGCTTTTGGTTGAATTGGTCCACTAACAGTGTTGTTTTGGCTTGAATCCATTGATTTATTAGACGAATTTACACTATTTACTCAACTTATTGACTGAAAATGACAAACTTGCCTCTTTGAGATACATGGAATGTTTCTCATGTTGAAAAATGTATTTTCTAAAAAAAAACTACCATATCAGAAACGTAGATCACTTAAAACGTAGAGTATCATTACCAAATAAAAAGAAACAATTTCCATTCATGTAATACTTTGAAATTTCTATAAGGGACATATACTTTATATAGGGTAAGGGTACTATCAAAAAAATTCAAATCGTAACTTGGTAAAGCCTTAGAAAATAATGCCTATTCTCCAAGGGAAAACTAATGTAAATTAAACTTATGTGATTTGCGAGACATGATAAATTTTTCCTCTATTTTTTTAATTGCAACGTTTAGAATTGTATATTATTCGCACACATTTCTTTAATTGTATTTTGTAATTTATATATTAAAGAAAATATAGTTATGCGGAGTTTTGTTGTAAAACTTATGATACAAGTTATAAAGGAATAACATGATTGGGACGCTATTCGACAATTGGTATGAACAGCTACATCAATGTATAGTTGTGCTATGTGAAGTGTAATCCCTACATCAGCTCCATACTACTCTAGGAAAGTACAACTCATTATAGCGTGAACTCAATAATTTAACAGTAATTAACTATGTATGGCATATGCTAATAATAATTAGTACAGTCCAAAGTCAATACCAAAAAGTCAACGGCAACGAACAACAAATCGTGGAGACTCATCTAGTCATATTCATGCCACTTTCCTTGAACATCTCCATTGCTCATTTTTCATCATTTCATTTCATGTTCCCTTTTCTCTCTCCTCCCCTGTAATTTGTAAATTTCTAATCACAAACTTATAAATATTTACGTCTCTGCCATTCTCTCTCACTTTTTCTCTCTTCTTCAGATACCTCGCTTCTCAGGTAATTCTCTCTCTTCACTTTCTCTCTCTAACAACCATTTTTATGTCGGAATTTAGATCTTTTCTAGCTTTTGTCGACGGTAAATTCAATTTGTCTTTAATTTTGTTGATTGATTTAATTATGCGTCGAAAATTTAAACTACGTAAATCATTCAAGTTTTTCTTCTGTGGTGAGCTTTCGGTAACATTCTCCGCATTCTTTTTTTTTTTATTTTATTTTATTTATTTATTTATTTATTTTTTATTTTGAATTTGAATTCTATTTTTATTTGAAATAGGTGATGAATGTAATTGATAATGATTTTTGCGTGTTTTCTTGTTTTGTACTGTTGAAAATGATATGCAATTATGTCACAATTATGATATTATTATAAATTTTATTGATGTCAATTTTTGTTGGGATTTGTGATATTCTAATTTTTCTGCAATTTTAGCATTATTTCGTTTATATAAGGAGCGACAAAGTGTAACTAGATTCAATCTGAGGTAGTATTATCGAGAATTTAATCAACTAAACTAGTTGACGATGATTGATTGATGCGTGTTGGGCATTATTTCGGTTAAAATAATGCCTAGTGATCTGGTATCGTAAAATAAGTATGTCCTAAGTTTTTAAATTTTGATTATGGTTTATTTTTCATGGTTGCAAAATTATGCAGTTTAATTTCAATCATAGCATGGGGGATCCGGTATCTGAATCAAATGAACAATTAAAGGAGTTTTGGATTCCTGATTATATACTGAATCAAGATTTTCAGCCTGAAGGCTGCTCATCTGACATTCCTGAGTGTCCTGTAATTGTGTTTGTCAACTCGAAGAGTGGTGGTCAGCTTGGTGGAAATCTTCTTGAAACATATCGTTCATTACTAAATACTAATCAGGTGATCGATTAAACTGGAATTTGTGCTTGAAATTTGGATTCCAAATTCAAATTTGAAGCAGCTACTTCTGGATGTACTTGCCTAAGCTTACTAAGTTGTCTAAATGTAGGTGGTTGATTTGTTGGAACAAGCTCCTGATAAGTTTCTAAGTACACTCTATCTTAATCTGGAAAACCTAAAGAAAAAGGAAGATGATTTGGCTATAAAGATCCAGGAGAAACTCAGACTAGTTGTAAGTCTATGCTACGATAATTGATTTGTGTATGTTGCTTGCTACATCTATAAAGATTGTTGTCCGACATTACTGTTCATTAATGTATGCTTGCTCATTAGGTTGCCGGTGGTGATGGTACCGCTGGATGGATTCTTGGTGTTGTTTGCGACTTGAAGTTGTCTCATCCTCCTCCTATTGCTACTATGCCCCTTGGTACAGGAAACAACCTCCCTTTTGCATTTGGTTGGGTAAATAACTTTTTCCTTAATGTATTGCCCTTTGGTACTAATTGCTTTTTGTACTATGTACGAAAAAGCCTCCTTTGTTTAACAGCATAATCTCTTCTTAGCTCTCTCTCTTCTTTTTTTCTTTTTTCTTTTTTTTTTTTCCCCTGTTTCTATTATCAACTGCAGGATTTGATTATCAGTCTAATGTACTGTCATCACTTGCAGGGAAAAAAAAACCCAGGTACTGATCAACCATCTGTAAAGTCGTTCTTGAATCAAGTCATGAAGGCAAAAGAAATGAAGATTGACAAGTAAACTTTCTTTTTTTTTGCTCTATCCTTGCTGTGTATTTTATTTTACTGTTCTCTCAGTTTGTAAATAATGGGAAAATATGTATAGAAGTATTTAATATGTACTCTCTCCATCCTTTATTTTATTCATAATTTCCTTTTTGGTTCATCCCAAAACATGGCACATTTCTATTTCGCTGAATTTATTATTTTCATGTTAGTATCTCACCCATGTTTAGGTTCTATCCTGATATGCTATTTAACTTTTATCTCTTTCTATCCTGATATATCACACTGTTCTTTTCGCCAGTCTGTTCTACTGATGGGATTAATGGTGGTCATCTCAAAGTTTATAAATGAACCTGTTCATCAATTTTGTGTAGTATTTTTTTGTTTAAATACGTATATACATGCTTTTCTAATTTGTTGTTACTTATAGCTGGCATATCCTCATGAGGATGAAGATCCCAACTGAAGGAAATTGTGAACCGATTGCCCCTCTTGAGTTGCCACATTCACTAAATGCATTTCATCGTGTTTCCCCAACAGATTCTTCTAACATGGTACCTTTATTTATCTCTTTTTTTTTTTTTCTTAATTTAACCCTAAATAACAAAAAAAAAAAAAAAAAAAAAAAAAAAAAAAAAAGAAAGTGATACTACATTTCGTGCTGAACGTGCTTGTGTATTATTTCTTATCAGGCAGTTTGTATTTGTTTTATGATTCACTAATTACTTTTGCGGTGCTGGCTTTATATATCCTGAAAACCTGTAGTCAGGGAGATATGAAATGGAGTGAAAAACCTACAGATGTCGCAACAGTGGATTTCATACTTCTGAGATACGAGAGGTGGGAGGAATGCACTGTGATGCGTAAATGAGAATATGAGACTTAAACCCATCATGGTTGAGTCTCCAATACGCTATATTATGTTGGTGTTGCTCATGTTGCTGCACATTATAATGCACTAACGATCCTGTAAATATGTTAAAAAATTGGTACATGTGTCTGCTCTACATAAACACAAGTACCCTTGATAATCTCAAGAGGCCAGACTTTTGCTTAATTGATTTCCTTTCTAATGAGTTCTACCAAGTCTTGGCAGGACACAAAACTACAAAAGTAGGACCATTAGTTTCAAGGTCATGCTTCGCATGTGTACTCTATATAGTATTGGTCGTCTTAGAATTACATTAGCTGTTACTTGTCACTATGCGAATTTGTGTTATCAACTTTTTTACCCATGGAATATGCCACTTTAGCGCTTAATTTAATTTATGTCCTGCTTATTACTTGTAAAGACCATGCATTGTAAGTTTTCAAAAAGAAGATAAGACATTTAATTGCAATTTCATCAAAAGAACTTTACTGTATGCCCTTCCGTGCTTTAATCTTAAGAGCTTATAATTTATGTTCTTTGCTAGTGACTCTTTGATTCTTCTACCTCATTGGTCTCATACACAACTATGGTTCCTGTGAAACTAAATTTTGTAGCATTAAAAATGTTCAGTTCTCATGAGCTCTTTCAATTTGATGCTTTCTAGGAAGGCCACCTTACATTCCGTGGTGGGTTCTGGAACTACTTCAGCATGGGTATGATGGTGATTTTTGTTTCTCTCTTACTCTTATTAGAATTCAGTTGCAAAGTATTTCATGTGAGAATTCCCTTTCTTTTCCAATGTGCATGTTAAGTTTTTGTCACCTGGCAATTCATTTAAAGAACCCCTTTTTGGTGCAATGGTGGTTATTCTGGCGCTGAATTATATGTTTCATATGGAAATTGCTTAATTTTTTATATACTTGATCATTGTTTAGGTACACCAATGTTTTTAATTACCATGATTATTTGCCTTATTGAACAAGTGATCCTAGCTGCATTAGAAATATATATTTATTAAATATATAATTATTTACTTATTCTACATGATTCTCAATGAGTGTAAAATGGAAGAAGCCATGACCACTTATTCTTTTTCCTCTTAACTTTTAATTTTTGTTGGCTCCTTTTTTGCACATGATTTCTTTGACCTTCCTATATAGTATTCTAGTGAATGGTGATGCACTTATTCACTATTTTACCATCAACCTGTTAAAATTTTAGGCTTATGGTGTTCTTTTTCTACAAAAAGGTTGAATGGGATGATGTCGTACTTCATTGATGTAGCTTTTGTAGGTCAAAAGATACCCAATTGCTGAATTCTTATGTTACCCTGCCCCCTTCCTCCATATGATGTTACATTGGAAAAACTTCTATGTATATTTACAATGTCACTCTGGCTTGTAGGTTATTTTTCTCACTTTAACCCGTTGCTGATCAATTAAGAGAACAACCTGAATTTTTTCCATTGCTTTACTGTATTTAATATTTTGTTACTGCATTGTTTACTCACCATCCTCAGTTCTAGCAGTGTGTTTGAAATTTTAGAAGTGAACTTTCTCTTCTTTAAAATATATGCAGCATTCATCTTGATTTGCAGCTATCTAACCAACCATTTTTCTTTGTTTTCTGATATTGTGTTCTTTCTTGTATCAAATTTACAGGAATGGATGCCCAAGTGTCATACGCATTTCATTCTGAGAGGAAGTTGAATCCTGAAAAGTTTAAAAATCAGTTGGTCAATCAGGTTCGTTGTCTTCTATTTTTATGATTGCATAATGTACTTGTTGCTGAATATATCAGTTGAGGGATGTGGCCTCTCTAATATTTTGAGGCTATGTTGATGGTAGATGGTTGACCATAGATGCTAATAGGCATAAAAGGAAAAAAGCAAAATATTGGGCTTCTTGGAGTTGACCTGCATGCATCAGTCCATGATTATTAAATATACCACTCTTATAAAGTAACAATAAGCATGATATTCAAGCAGCTTTGAGCTTCCCTTATATTGGATTGCAGATTACAATGCTAAAGTTGATAAAGGTCTAATAGATGATTCTGTTACAACAACAACAACAAAGCCTTAGTCCCAAAATGATTTGGGATCGGCTAACATGAATCGTCATAAGGAATCGTACGATATAAAGAAACGGACATAACAAAACCATCATTTAAAAGAGATTGAAAAAACGTGAGTAAAGTGAGTAAACGGAAGAGCATTTTAGAAATTAAGGGAGTTTTAAAAGAAAATCAAGAATAAAATTCAAGAAAGTTGAAAACATACGGTTTGAGAAAACTTTAGCAAAGGAAAACAATACAGTTTATAAAACATTGGACGGCTAAAATTAAAATTTAAAACGTATATATAATCATGACACGTTGTTGACATGTATTTTTTCCCTCCATACTGCCCTATCCAGCACTATATTCTCCTCAATCCCCAAAGCATTCATGTCGCTCTCAATCACCCTCTTCCAAGTTTTCTTAGGTCTTCCCCCACCTCTTGCTATCCTTACACTTTGCAATTCTTTAAGCTTCTTTACCGGAGCGTCACTTGGTCTCCTTCTTATATGGCCAAACCAATTTAAGTGATTCTCCCTAATCTTGTACTGAATTGAAGTAACCCCTACTTTCTTCCTTATTATCTCATTCCTTAACTGATCCTTTCTTGTATGACCACATCCATCGCAGCAAACGCATCTCCGCCACATTCATCTTATGCACGTGGCAATGTTTTACGGCCAACATTCTGTACCATATAACAAAGCAGGCCTTATTGCCGTTCGGTAGAATTTCGCCTTTAATTTATAGGGTATGCCTGGATCACATAAAAAACCCGTCGCACTCTTTCATCTCAACCAACCCGCTTTGATCCTATGAGCTACATCTCCATCCAATTCGCCATGCTTTTGAATAATAGATCCCAGATATCGGAAGACATTACAACTTTGAACACTCTTCCCATCTAAGGTGATCACCCCTGCCTCATTGTTTCCCACACCGCTAAACTTACACTTTAAATACTCCGTCTTACTTTTGCTCACCTTCAAGCCACGGGACTCCGAAGTCCATCTTTACAATTCCAACTACTTTCCATGCCTTCTTTTTTCTCATCAATCAACACAATATTATCCACAAACATCATGCACCATGGTATATCATCTTGAATTGAACTCGTCAATACGTCCATGACTATAGCAAAAAGAAAACGACTAAGTGCAGAATCTTGATGAACTCCAATTGTAATTGGGAACTCTTTGGTCTTCCCAACAATGGTCCGCACACTTGTGCTAGCTCCCTCATACATGTCCTTAATGATGTCAATATATATCTGCGAAACGCCTTTCCTCGTTAAAGCCCACCAAAGAATCTCCCTTGGTACCTTATCAAAAGCCTTCTCCAAATCAATAAAAACCATATGTAAATCCTTCTTCTTATCGCGATAGATTTCCATTAGTTGTCTCATAAGATGGATTGCCTCCACAGTCAATCTTCCAGGCATAAATCCAAATTGGTTTTCTGAGATCTTCACACTTCTCCTTAATCTTTGTTCTATCACTCGCTCCCAAAGTTTCATAGTATGACTCATTATTTGATCCCTCGGTAGTTAGCACAATCTTGCACATCACCTTTGTTCTTATACAAAGGTATCAAAGTACTTCTCCTCCAGTCAAAAAGCATCTTAGTACATCCCCAAATCTTGTTGAAAAAAGCTGGTACTCATTCAATTCCTTTTTCTCCCAAACATCTCCAGACCTCAATAGGAATACCATCATGTCCAACTGCTTTTCTTCAATCCCATCTTTTTTAATGCCATTTTGACTTCTCCCTTCTGAATCCTTTGCCTAAACTCCCGATTAACCATATCATGAGGATTCTGTTAGATTTAGGAAAGTAAGCACTCATGTCTCTTTGTATTTTAAAGCTAATGATCTACTTTTATTTTTAGCGTTCAATTTTTTTATCTTTTTTGCATATATCATAGCACCATTGAGTTGACCTTTGTCATTTACAGAGTACATATGCTAAACTTGGGTGCACACAAGGCTGGTTTTTTGCTTCCCTGTTCCATCCTGCTGATAAGTGAGTACACTCTGGCTGCTCTTTCAATATACACTGTTAATGTATTTAAGTCAATAATATCTGTTCTTTGAAATTTAATCAGAGGTTTTGGTTCTATTCATCAGAGGTTTTTTTTTTCTTTCCCTCAGGAATATTGCACAGCTGGCAAAGGTGAAGACCATGAAGAAACCTGGTGGTGAATGGGAAGAAATCCATATACCTCACAGGTAAAGTGGAATTCTATTTTAGTGAAGTTGAGATAATCACTGCTGGCGTATCCCATCACTCTGCATTGTTATCTGTAGTATTTCCCTTTGCAAAATGGTTATTTCTTTGACACTTGGGGGGTTTTTGGTACGAACATTGGAAATGGAATGGAAAGAAAACTAATAAGAGAGGGGCCGGGGGGGTCAGGTGGGGGGAGGGGGGGGGCGGGGAGAGAAATTCTTACCTTTTTTATAGTTTGGTTTAACCATGGAATGGAACACTTAAACTTGTGTGTTTGAGGGTAATAGTAATTGGTACTGTAGGTTATAATGGAAACCAATACCCTTACCAAAGATGCTCTTAAAGTATACGGAGTTATACTTATAAGAAACTATGTAAAAAATTACAATTTAAACCTTGATGTGACAGTTTTAGTTTTGGCCTTTAATTTTCTGATGACTCAGCCGAAGGCTCTATAGCGGGTAGTAAATTTAGCTGCACATTAAAGTCCTAGACTCTTAGTATTACATTTAAGCTGAAATTTTAATTTTCCAAAAATACGACTTAAGATTGAGTCTTCAGCAGTGCTAGTGAAGCTTTGAAGAATAGAAGTGGTGCTAACATTCACTGTATGCTGTTGATCAGTCTTTGTTGGTTAGACTAAGATAAAATGTCAATCTTCTCCACTTTCCAAGTGATAACACTCCTATATTGATGTTGTTGTCCCTAGATATGCAAAGTGACATTTGGTTACAGTTTTAGTTGCATTCTTCTGTTGCATACTAGAGCCATACCAATATTGCATATTTTCAAAACAGTTGCTTTTACAAGGCTTCCATTAATAAAAATATTTGTATTCAAATGTATGCAGCCATTCTTTACATGTGTGATTGAAAACACATCACAAATCAAATGTCCTCTGTTTTACCGAAAATGATTTTTTATTTTATTCATTTTTTTTTTTTTTTTTTTTTTTTGGTGGTTCATGATCTAATTATCTAAAGTAGTTGTCTTAGTTAACTGTATCTCCATTGTCTTTAATGATTGAAACATACTTAAGAAACCTTGGTGCTTTTGTTACCACATGGTGAATTGTTTTCAGTAGGCAATTGTTTTTGAGAGTATTCTGTAAAATGATACAGATAAATGATTATTGGCTTTGATTGTCCAGCCGCTATTGAGCAATCTAACTTTAGTTTCTTACACAGTTACACTATTGTATAGTATCCTCTAAGTTATTGAGATCAATGCATTTGACATCACACAATTGTGTGTTTGCATCATAATTATCATGTTGTATATAAAACAGCCAATGTAACAATTAATTCATTTTATCCTAAATATAGGCCAGCCAACTAACCATTTTTTTTTTTTAAAACCTACAGCATCAGGTCAATTGTATGCCTTAACTTGCCAAGTTTCTCAGGCGGACTAAATCCTTGGGGGACACCAAACAAGAACAATGTTAGTCCATACATACTTCTTGAGATATTATCTTGATTTTTTAACATGTTTTGCTTTGGTTTCTGAATGTTCCTACACTTTCCATATTAGTTTGTTTCTAAAGTTCTTCACACTTTCATTTCATTCCACTTTGGCAAACCCATTTTACTACATTACCCCTCTAATCCCATAATGTTTTCACATGTGTACTCTCTCTCTCTTACTTTGTCCAACTTTTTTAGTTCCTCCCACTTCTTTACACTCTTATTTTAATCACCTGTTTGTTACACCCACCCACCTATTATCTTAATTTGTTCAAATAAGATAAAATAGATCGAAATTGGGGGTAGTATTTTCGAGCCTCCCACCCCTTCCCATAAAGAAAAAGAAACAAGCTGAAAGTTTCAGAGGAAAAAAAAAATAAAAAATCCCTTCTCTCATTTTTTGGACAATTCTCATGTAAGCGCTTTGTTTAAAACTGGTGTACAGAAAGAGTTGACTCCTCCGTATGTTGATGATGGCCTTATAGAAGTTGTTGGTTTTAGAGATGCTTGGCATGGGCTTGTTCTACTAGCTCCGAATGGCCATGGGACTCGTCTTGCACAGGTAATTCACATGTCACGACTCCAGAAAGAGAACTCCATATTGTTTGCATTCTGATTCCATTGGCAGATTTGAGGATTATGTGTTCAATGCAGTTTTATCTTTTTGTAAATTTAAGTACTATACGGTAAAATAACTCTTCTATACTAATTTTGGGTAAAATGTACACTTTCAGGCAAAGCGAATACGTTTTGAGTTTCACAAAGGTGCTACTAACCATACCTTTATGAGGATTGATGGTGAACCTTGGAAACAGCCTCTACCTGTTGATGATGACGCTGTTGTGGTGGAAATCTCACATCATGGTCAGGTGAACATGCTTGCAACCCATGACTGCCGTGCAAAAAGTATACGTGATCCATCTTCATTACATTATAGTGCGAATGAGGACAATGATGATGAAGATGATTCTCCAGCCGCAGCTGGTGAAGAGTGGAGCAAATTTGGTGCTGCTAGCACGTTCAGAATTCCAGATGAAGTTGACTTATCACATTTAAGTTAGGCCCATTGCCCACCTCATTGTGAATATCACCAGGCAGTTGTGAGCAAACTCTCAGGGTGGAATTAATTCTTTAGTTGCCATTTATATTGGTAATTGATTGCATGTCTTCCAAATTCATTAATATTCAGTTATATAGATGTAATGGTTGTTTTCCTCGAGCAAAGAAGTAAATCATGGTATGGTATTGGTTTCCAGTTTTAAGTCTCCAATGGTTGAAAAAATCATTTGGAGAGCACAAGCAAACTTCATCTGCCTTAATTGACTGTAATTCTTATTTTCTACAAAGTATAATAAGAACATCATCAATTAGCAACCTTCTAAATGAGGAATGAGACAAACAACTCTTCTATACATAGTAATACAAGTCTGTATTCTCAAGTTTTTTCAGGTAGTGCTAAAAGGGAAAACCGATTGTGCTAGGAAAACAAGTACTCCCTCTGTTTCACTTTAGTAGTCTCATATATTATTTTGGGCGTTTTAAAATGAAATACCCATATAGAATATATTCCTAACATTATTATAGGGTGAATAATTTTCATAATATGTGAATAATTAATGTAATTGGGTGTTTAAAGAGTCAAATGATTCTAATTGGTTAATGAGTTAAGATAACAAATGGAGTCCAACTTTTAGATAAATATTGTGTTTGGGGTCTAACTTTTTATTACTTTGTGTTTGGGGTCTAGGTTAGAAATTCCGGTGAGTTAACCTTTGTTTAACTCACCGTTAACCTTAGATTAAAAAAAGTTAGACCCTTGTAAAAAAGTTAGACCCCTAATCTAATAAACTTAGTCCCTTAATGCATTTAACTATAGAAATAGCTGATTTAATAACTTTCATACCAATATTTCAAATTCACTAATAATAACAACTAATACAATGTCGAATACATAAATTACCACTTTTCCAAATTAATCAGATTATATAAATTACCTTGAATTATTTAAACGCTTTTTTTTAAAAAAAAGACAACAATTTTTTTTTTTTTTAGACAAAAGCACTTGTTTTTAAACGGATGAAAAAACACTTCCGTTAAACTAAAAATCATAAAAAATGATAATTTTTTTTTTTTTTTTTTTTTTTTTTTTTTTTTTTTTTTTTTTGACCAAAAAACCTGTGTAATTTAAAGGATAAAATATTTTAGGTAACACTTTGTAAGTTTTTGTAATTTACGAAAATAAATATAAGAACTTCATAAAAAAAAAAGAATAATATCACAATTTTCTACAAAATAATTTTTATTTTATTGCATTTGAATTCCCTATACTAAGGGTAGACAAGTGAGATAAATATCTTCAATTTTTTTCACAAACTAGATATATTAGTATTGCATAATTTTTTTTTATTTTTTTACTGTTGAAATCTAAGTTTATAAAATAAGATTCTTATTTATTAAATTCGTTTTACATTTGAGGTATATTAGAAGATTTTACAATTAATTTGATCTTAGTATTATTATCAATTTTACACTTTTAATTAGTGGAAAATTGTCTAAAAATTTGTGAAATACAGCAAAATTTATTTATTTTCTTCTAAATTACACATGAATTATTATTAAAGAAGTAATTAGCTAAATATGTATTTTAAAAGTATGCTATAACAAAAAATATATATATATATATATATATATAAAAAATAATAATAATAATAGTAATAATAATAATAGTAATAGTTATAGTAATAATAATAATAATAATAATAATAATAATAATAATAATAATAATAGTAATAGTGATAATCATAATAGTAATAATAATAATAATAATAATAATAATAATAATAATAATAATAATGTAGGAAATGATATCACTATAACTAAAAATAATAATTAGATTATTCAAATAAAAAAAAAATAAAATAAAAAAATAAAAAACTAGAAGGGTCTAAGTTTTTTGATTTTTCTGATTGGTTGTTCTATTTTTTTTTTTTTTTTTTTAAATAAAGAAAGTTTTTTATTGGTTAACTAGAATGGTCCAACTTTCTTAACTAAGGGTCTAACTTTTTTGCACACAATTAATTAAATCTCATCGAAAAAACTATTCAAGACCCCAAACACTAAGTAAAAAATTGTTAGACCGCAAACACAATATTTTCAAAAAAGTTGGACCTCATCTGTGCTCTTAACTCATTGGTTAATATATGTGCTAGTGGATTGTTGACATGGCTAATTCTTCCAATCAAAACTTTTTTTATAGCTGATTTAATTACAACCAATTCCCATAAATAAAACAAATAAAATAGAAAAAGACAAAACACTAATTACAAAGATGTGCAATCAAATTCCAAATTATTAGGATTTTTCCTTTTCTTATTTTAAGTGATTGATTCCAAAGGGGACGACTAACAATGTGAAACGGAGGGAGTAACAAACAAGGCCAATAGAATTTGCCGTGGAAAACCCGATAATGGGGAAAAAAACACCACCAATGCTCTATAGAGTAATCTTTGATGAAAAACAATGTAGTTTTCAAGCTTTCAAATCACCATGAAGACTTCCACCCCAAATACACCCCTTCCCACACATTAACCCTATGTGTTATGGCTTTTACATTTGAGGCTTTCTCTCTCTAGATATTTCTCTTCATCTCATTCTCTCTCTCTTTTTTTTTTTCTTTTTTTTTACCATAATGACTAAACATGAGTACATATTGTAATCCCCCATACTTTTAAACATTTTATAAATGAAATTTTATTTTATTTAAAATGTTTATTTGTATTTTACCGGAATTTAATTTCAAAAGTTTCAAATTATTAATTTGGGTCAAAAATTATTTTAGCACAAATTATTTTATGAACCTTCATTCTATAATTTATGCTCATAAAAACAAAGCCTAACCCATTTTATTTAATTAATTGGCCCATTATTTTCACGAGGCCCAATTCTACCCTACAATTCTCTCTCTTATATATACCCCTTAAATCCCCAAATTTTTCCCCACACAAAAAGGTTAGTTTTTATTTCATTCCCCTTTATTTTCTTTCTTTTCTTTCTTTTCTTTTTCCTTGAATTTTCTTTTCTTTTCTTTTTCCTCTTTCTTTTTTTTCTTTCTTTCTTTTTTCCTCTTCATGTGTGAAAACCTCACTCTATTGTTGCCCCTGCTACTTCTATCCACCGCCCTTGCGCGCTAGAAAATTGGCGGTTCGCCCAGCCACCGTCGGCCACCTGCAGTGGCTCCCTCTTCTTCCCTCTTCCTTTGTTTTCTTTTTATTTTGGTTTAATACTTGATTAAATTATTTTGGGTTTTGATTTAATTGTTTGAAATTAGTTTATTTAGTATCCAATTCATGTTTTTGATGGTTTAAACTTATAATTTCATATTATACAAGTGTTTAAATTTTTCAGATTTTATGAATTTTAAACCTAGGATTTTAATTTATTTAAATTGGGATTTTTAGGGTTCTTGTGATCAATTAATTTGGGGCTTTTGTTCCTATTCAATTTCTAATCATGAATTAAGCATAAAACCATTTATTAAAGGAAGTTTTAAGGATTTTATAATATAATTATATTGCTGGAAATTAGTTTGGGAATTAATTTGTGATTGTTGGTTGTTTTCTAGGATGTGATTATTCCCTAGTTGACTTTTTCATGATTAAAAGTGGCACAAAAGATTGTTTACACGAGGTATGTACATGTTTACTTCGTTGTAAGTAGTATCATGTTTAGGTACCAAAAAGGAAAGAACTTAGTTTTTGGTTTAGAGAACTCTTGGATGGAAATTGTTTGGTTAAACATTGACTTAATTCATATGCTTATGTTTATGAGACATGTTTCGGTGAATTGATTATGTTTGTATGGAATTATGGTTGCAAGCATGTTGGTTATATTGGACTAATTGTTTGTATGGAATGTTGATGCAAGCATATTTTTATTAGATTGGTTTGTTAACCACATTTGGTTTATTGAAGGATTGAAATTGAATGATTTAAGTGGAATGAATTATTTAATTATTCCACGAGGTTATTATTATTTTATTTATTACTCAAGCATGACTTATTAGTATGTTGAGTAAAGGTGGATTAAGCCGAAATGGCTAGGTGGGTTGACTATGTTCAACAATTTTGGATATCTTGGAAGTTTAATGGAATTAAAGGTCAATTTGTGGTGTGATCATCGTTCCTAAATAAGATTAAAAATGAATTATATGTATGATTATTATGTATGGTTTACTTGAATGAGTCGGCTATTAATTAAACTTGTAATCACGTAAAGTGAAACATGGATGAGCAATAAAACTCTAGAAAGCGTGCACTTCTAGAGTATTGGCAATTATGGGTTGGGGTACATGGTTGTAGCCCGTGGCTTTTCGAGGCTTGTTTGATCAACATGTCCTCTTTTCTTTTGGTATTTACATTTTTGTTTTATAATGAAATTTAGATGGGATCCTAGACTAACTTTGTGAGAATGGAGTCGTGCTCATTCTTGCATTACACTATATTTTTTTTTAAATGGTCATTTGGGATCAAAATTATTTGGTGGGATGGACAACCTTGCTCGTCTATTGCTTACTCCAAATTAATTAAATTAAATATATAGAGTCAAGTGGATTGAAATTGGTTAGTAAGTATGTTGAATTGATTGAATTATTTTAGTGTAAAGTCTTGGTTAAAGAATTTATGTTGAATGTTATTTACTTTAATTAGTTGAACATGTTAGGTTTGGTGTGTTGTAGCTTGTATGCATTCAACTTTGTTGATTGCGTGCTTTTGTGTGTGTTTTCTTTTGGTCATGGTCTTCGCCTTTCAATGACCCTGTGATGATCTAATTATTACACTTGTATTATTGGTGAGCAGTATTGCACAGGTTAGCTTGATGATGTGAAGTTCGGGGATTTGACAAATGCATTGTCAACGGTTGGTGTGATTGAGAGTATTTGTTCCTTGTGTTGAACTTGTTTATGTTTTACTCTTTCATTTATGATTTGGGTTTTGAATATTGCTTTGGTTTTTAAATAAGGGTCTTATGGTTCTAGCTTGTAAGCTTTGACTTATTGGTTTTCTTTACTATATTATTTTAAAGACTTAAATTTGGTTTTTTCGCTGCGATATTCTAACAAAGCCTTAACGTTTTAACACGTGGCGGTAACATGCCAATGGTTCTCCTCTTTTTTATTTAAAGTAATTGGTTTGGAAAAGGGAGAATTATTGGGGTGTTAAAAAGTGGTATCTAAGAACTTAGGTTAGATTTTATTACCACTAAAGCCAATTTTAAAGTTTTTAGGCGCCTAACGTTTTAATTCTAATGAGTTTTATTTAACTACTTTATTTAAAGTTAACTTAAGTTTTACAAAATTATTTTATTCTAATATATTAATTTGGCAATTATAAAAAATAATAAAAAAAACGTATTTATTTGTTTTATATATTTTCGTGTTATTTAATTATTTTGAAATGAAATGAATTTGATTTTTTTTTATTCTTTGAACTTGTTTGGTTATTTTATTTTATCGATGATATTTGGGTAGCATTAGGAAGGGTGTATAGGATAGATTATTTCTTTCTAAATGCATTGTAATTAATTCTTTTGTAATTTTATTATTGTATGAAGTGATTATGCAAGTTATTTAATTGGTGTGTATGTTTTATGTAATGGTGCAAACCTGAGTGTGATAACCTAGTATCATGTTTAAGGTTTAAAGCATGTAATATGGAAAGGAATGTGATGATTTGCTTATGTGAAGCATGTAATTATGTGACTAATAATATATGTTTATTTAATTATGTTATTTACTTACTGCTTGGATTTTGGTGGGGATTGAATCAAGGGGACTCTTTTATTTATTTTTCTTGTGTGTAGGAATGATTAAATTTTAATAATCATTTCCTTTGAAAGTGATTTATTAGGGGAGATTGTGTGGCCGTGTCCACCTTTCTAACTTAATATATTTGATGACCATGAATGTGGTGTATTGTGCAAGTAGAGTAATTTTGTGTCGACGTTAGCCTAATAGTGTGTTATACTTCCAGGTAGAGAAGGAGGATGGCTAACAACGATGCTTTAGCTGATGCCATTAGGCTATTAGCTGAGAACTTGAACCAAAACCGCAATGATAATCTGATTCCACTGGAGAGATGTTTAAGAAGCTTGCTTAGGTCAAACCGCCATACTTTAAGGGAGGTGGAGACCCAACTTTTTTGGAGAACTGGGTTAAGGAGTTTGATAAGACTTTTGCTGCTTTGAATTGCCCTAAGAATATGAGAGTTGATCAAGCTGCCATGTATTTGAAGGAAAAGGCAGATATTTGGTGGAGGGATAATGGAGATGTGATTAGTGCTGAGGCTAATTTTTGTTGGGAGACTTTCAAAACTAAATTTAGGGAGAAGTTCTATCCACCATTCTTAAGGAAGCAAAAGGCTCAAGAGTTCATTAATCTGCAAATGAACAACATGTCGATTACTGAGTACTATAACAAGTTTATAAACTTATCGAGGTTTGCTCCTGAAGTAGTACCTACTGAGGAGTTGAAGGCTCAAAGATTTGAGCAAGGTTTGACTAAGCAGTTACAGAAGGACTTGGCTGGAAAAACCTTTAAGACTCTTGATAAGGTTTATAGGAGAGCAATGCACATGTACAGTTTGAATGTCAGGAGTGCGCCTGAGAGTGCGAGTGTTGGAGAAAAGCGTAAGGATTTGGGGAATTTGAGTAACCAAGGCAACTTCAAGAAGCCAAGGAACGAGAATTTCTTGAATAGAAATTTTCATAATAATGGAGGATCGTTTAGAACTACTGGCCAAGCCGAGAGGCATTACAACTACAAGAAGTGTGGCAAGGATCATCCTGGAAAGGATTGTGATGGGAACTTGGTTGTGCGTAGGTTCTGTCACAAGAAGGGCCATATAGAGTTCGAATGTTTCACCAAATTGAAGCAACAGGGGAATGAGAACAAGTCTGCACAAATAAGCAATCAAGGAGGGAATTCAAATGGTCCTAATGGGGATGCATGGAACAGAAATGTTGGCAACAATAACTCTGGAAATTAAGGAAAGAATGTCACTCCAGGTCGTTTGTCTATGATGGGAAAATAGGAAGCGGAAAGGTCTTCTGATGTTGTCACTGGTAACTTTTTTATTCATTCTATTTTTGTTAAATCTTTGTTTGATTCTGGAGCCACCTATTCTTTTATTTCTAGTTCTGTTGTGAAACAATTAGGACTAGTTGAACTGAATTTGATTGACTTGCCTATTAGTTTGCGTACTGGTGAAGTTGTGAGGTGCACCAAGATACATAAGGGTTTACCTTTGAGGATTGGAGAGACTGATTCTCCATCCAATCTTATAGAATTTGAGTTGGGTGACATTGATGTTATTTTGGGAATGGATTGGTTGTCTACTTTTAAAGATATGTTTGATTGTGAGGTACATAAAGTTTATTTAAGGAGTCCTTTGGGAAAAACTATGTCTTACAGCCGTTTTGGGAAACCAAAAGGTATTGGGATTACTTGTGCAATGAAGTTGTCGAAACTTGTGAGTAATGGGTAACCTTTGTTCTTTTGTTGTGTGCAAGACTTGGAAATGAGTAATAAGGTGAATGTGGAGGATGTGCCAATTGTGAATGAGTTTTTGGATGTATTTCCTTAAGAGATTTCTAGGATGCCACCAAAGAGGGAATTAGAGTTTACAATAGATTTGGTTCCTGGAACGACACCAATTTCTGAGGCACCATATAGAATGGCACCTGCTAAGATGGGAGAGTTGAAAGTGCAATTAAGAGAATTGTTGGATAAAGGATATATTAGCCAAGTGAATCTCCTTGGGGAGCACCTATTTTGTTTGTGAAGAAGAAGGATGGGAGCATGAGGTTGCGTATTGATTATAGAGAATTGAATAATGTGACGATAAAAATAATAAGTACCCACTACTCAGGATCGATGATTTGTTTGATCAAAAGGGAGCTAGTTTGTTTTCCAAGATTGATTTACGTTCAGGGTACCATCAACTAAGAGTTGCTGATAAAGACAAACCTAAGACTGCTTTTAGGACTAGATATGGGCACTATGAGTTTACTATTATGCCTTTTAGGTTGACCAATGCACCTGCAATCTTTATTGATTTAATGAATTGAGTATCATGAGTATTTGGATAAGTTTGTGGTTGTTTTTATTGATGATATTTTGGTATACTTGAAAAGTGAGAGAGAACATAAGGAGCATTTGAGGATTGTGCTGAGAACTCTTAGAGACAATAAGTTGTATGCTAAGTTTTCGAAGTGCGAATTCGGGTTAGAGAAGGTTGCATTTTTGGGACATTATGTGTCTAAAGAAGATGTTTTTGTGGATCAAGCAAAGATTCAAGCAGTGAGTGAGTGGCCTACGCCTAAGAACGTGTCTGACATAAGGAGTTTCTTGGGACTAGTTGGTTATTACAGAAGGTTTGTGAAGGATTTTTCAAAGATTTCTAGACCATTAACTAATTTGATGAAGAAAGAAAGTAAGTTTGAATAGGATGAGAAGTGTGAACAAGCCTTTCAAACTCTTAAAGAGCGTTTAACCACCGCACCTGTTTTAGCCTTACCTGATGGAAGTGATGGATTTGAAGTTTATAGTGATGCTTCGAAGAATGGATTAGGGTGTGTGTTGCAAAATAATGGGAAGGTGATATCTTATGCTTCTCGCCAACTCAAATCTTTTGAGGTTAATTACCCTACACATGATCTTGAGCTTGCAGCTATAGTGTTTGCATTGAAAATTTGGAGACATTATTTGTATGGAGTAAGGTGTAAGATCTTTATGGATCACAAGAGTCTCAAGTATATTTTCACTAAGACAAATCTCAATATGAGACAGAGGCGTTGGTTGGAGTTGTTCAATGACTATGACGTAAACATATATTACCATGAAGGGAAAGCAAATGTTGTTGCGGATGCCTTGAGTAGGAGATCAAGTCAAGTTGTGAATGCTTTTATCGTGCCTGACAAGTTATGTGAAGATATGAAGCATTTGAACTTGGAGGTTATGAACTATGGTGAATTAGAAGCAAGGTTGAGTGCTCTTTCACTTGGGAGTTCATTGTTGGATGAAATAAAAGAGAGTCAGAAAGGTGATGAAGGAATCCAATCGATCAAGGAGAAAATGAGCCAAGGGAAGAATGTAGATTTCAGGATCCATGATGATGGAAGTTTGAGTTACAAAGAAAGATGGTGCATACCGGAAAAGTGTGAGGATTTAAAGAGGAAAATCATGGAAGAAAGCCACAATATTCCATATTCTGTACACCCAGGAGGGGACAAAATGTACAAGGACTTAAAAGATTTGTATTGGTGCCCAAACATGAAAAGAGAAGTAGTTGATTTTGTGAGCAAATGCTTGACTTGTCAAAAGGTCAAGATTGATCACAAGAGACCTATGGGAAAGGTTCAACCTTTGGAGATTCCTAGTTGGAAATGGGATTTGATATCCATGGATTTTGTCACAGGATTACCTAGAGCCAAAAGTGGCAATGACACTATTTGGGTGATTGTAGATTGACCTACAAAATCTGCAGTGTTTATTCCAATAAAGGAATCTTGGAAAAGAAACAATTGGCAAAGGTGTATGTGAAGAATGTAGTTCAACTACATGGAGTGCCTAAGGACATCATCTCCGATCGATATTCAAGGTTCTTGTCCATTTTTTTTTGGCAAAAGGTTCAAGTCAACTTGGGAGCACCATTGAAAATGAGTATTGCGTTCCACCGAGCAATGGATGGATAGACAGAAAGGACCAATCAAACCATGGAAAATATGCTAAGGGCGTGCGCCTTGGATTTTCAAGGTACTTGGGAAGAACATTTGGATTTGATTGAGTTTTCTTACAATAATAGCTACCATGCTAGCATTGGCATGGCTCCTTTTGAAACATTGTATGGTCAAAAGTGTAGAAGTCCTGTATGTTGTAATGACTATAGTGAGAATCTTGTCTTAGGAATAGAGTATATTGAGGAAATGGTGAATAAAGTGAAGTTGAATTGCTCGAGAATTCAAGCTACACAAATAGGCAGAAAAGCTATGCCGATTTGAAAAGGCGAGATGATGAGTTTAATGTGGGTGATAAAGTCTTTTTGAAGGTCTCACCTACAAAAGGAGTGGTGAGATTTGAAAAGAAGGGCAAATTGAGTGCCAAGTATGTAGGTCCTTATAAAATTTTGGAACGTGTAGGCAAAGTTGCTTACATATTGGCATTACCTATGGAATTTTAGAAAATGCATAATGTGTTTCATATCTCTCAATTGAAAAAGTATGTTCCTGATTCAAAACACGTGCTACAATCTGAATCGATTCAATTGGATAAGACTTTAACTTATGAGGAAAGGCATGTGAAAATCTTGGATCATAAGGTGTGTAGTACACGAAATAAGGATGTTAGAATTGTTAAAGTTCTTTGGTCAAATCAAGAGTATGAGAAGGCTACTTGGGAGGTCGAGGATGATATGAGAAAGAGATACCCTGAGTTATTTAATGAGGTGAGTTACGAGGGCGTAACTCTTGTTCTTTAAGGGGGGTAGAATGCGTATAATTTTGTGCTTTTTGCCCTAATTTATGCTATTTTGTGGTGTTTTTATGCTTTTCATAGCTATTTTATTGTTTACGTAGCTAGTGAAGTACGTAAATTGGGATGGTGAGGTATTAGTATCGATACTATGAAACAATTAGAATTCCACAACATAATATTGAAAATTTTGAAATGGTTTTATGCAAATGTTTTGCAATTTAAGGGATTTTGTGCTAAGTTTTGGGACGAAACTTCTTTTAAGAGGAGTAGATTGTAATCCCCCATACTTTTAAATATTTTATAAATTTTATTTTATTTTATTTATAATATTTATTTGTATTTTTCCGGAATTTAATTTCAAAATTAAAGTTTCAAATTATTAATTTGGGTTAAAAATTATTTTAGCACAAATTATTTTATGAACCTTCATTCTATAATTTACGCTCATAAAAACAAAGCCTAACCCATTTATGTATTTAGTTGACCCATTATTTTTACGAGGCCCAATTATACCCTACAATCCTCTCTCCTATAAATACCCCATGAATCTCCAAAATTTTCCCCACACAAAAAGGTTAGTTAATATTTCTTTTCCCTTTATTTTCTTTATTTTCCTTTTCCTTTCTTTTTCTTTTCTTTTCTTTTTCCTTTTTCTTTCTTTCTTTCTTTTTTCATCATCACGTGAGAAAACCTCACGCTATTTCTGCCCCTCCTACTTCTGTTCGCCGCCCCTGCCCGCCGGAAAAGTGGCGGTTCGCCCAGCCACCGTCAGCCACCTGCAGTGGCTTTAATTTATTTAAATTGGAATTTTTAGGGTTCTTGTGATCAATTAATTTGGGGCTTTTGTTCCTATTCAATTTCTAATTATGAATTAAGCATAAAAACATGTTTTAAAGAAAGCTTTAAGGAGTTTTTAATAAAATTATATTGCTGGAAATTATTTTGAGAATTAATTTGTGATTGTTGGTTGTTTTCTAGGAGGTGATTATTCCCTAGGAGACTTCTAAGCGATTAAAAATGGCACAAAGGATTGTTTACACGAGGTACGTACATGTTTACTTCGTTGTAAGTAGTATCATATTCACGTACCAAAAAGGAAAGAACTTAGTTTCATGTTAAGAGAACGCTTGGATGGAAATTGTTTGGTTAAACATTGAATTAATTCATGTGCTCATGTTTATGAGACATGTTTTGGTGAATTAATTATGTTTGTATGGAATTATGGATGCAAGCATGTTGGTTACATTGATTAATTGTTTGTATGGAATGTTGATACAAGCATATTTTTATTAGATTGGTTTGTTAACCACATTTGGATTATTGAAGGATTGGAATTGAATGATTTAAGTGGAATGAATTTATGATTATTCCACAAGGTTATTATTATATTATTTATTACTCAAGCATGACTTGTTAGAATGTTGAGTAAAGGTGGGTTATTCCGAAATGGCTAGGTGGGTTGACTATGTTCAACAATTTTGGATATCTTGGAAATTTAATGGAATTAAAGGTCAATTTGTGGTGTGATCATCGTTTTCCTAATTATGATTAAAAGTGAATTATATGTATGATTATTATGTATGGTTTACTTGAATGAATCGGCTATTAATTAAACTTGTAATCAAGTAAAATGAAACATGGATGATCAATAAAACTCTGGAAAGCGTAAACTTCTAGAGTATTGACAATTATGGGTTAGGGTACACAGTTGTAGCCCGTGGATTTGCGAGGCTTGTTTGATCAACATGTCCTCTTTTCTTTTGATATTTACATTTTTATTTTATAATGAAATCTAGATGGGATCCTAGACTAACTTTGTGAGAAAGGAGTCGCGCCCATTCTTGTATTGCGCTATATTTTTATTTTAAATGGTCATTTAGGACCAAAATGATTTGGTGGGTTGGAAAACCTCGTCTATTGCTTACTTAAAATTAATTAAATTAAATATAAGAGTCAAGTAGATTGAAATTGGTTAGTGAGTATGTTGAGTTGATTGAATTATTTTAGTGTGGAGTCTTGGTTAATGAATTTATGTTGAATGTTATTTACTTTAATTAGTTGAGACATGTTAGGTTTGGTGTGTTGTAGCTTGTATGTACTCAGCTTTGCTGATTGCGTACTTTTGTGTGTGTTTTCTTTTGGTAATGGCCTTCTCCTTTCAATGAACATGTGATGATCCAATTATTACACTTGTATTATTGGGGAGCAGTATTGCACAGATTAGCTTGATGATGTGAAGTTCGGGGATTTGACAAATGCATTGTTAAGGGCTTGGTGTGATTGAGAGTATTCGTTCCCTGTGTTGAACTTATTTATGTTTTACTATTTCATTTATGATTTGGGTTTTGAAAATTGATTTGATTTTAAATAAGGGCCTTTATGGTTCCAATCTGTAAGCTTTGACTTATAGGTTTTCTTTACAATATTATTTAAAGACTTAAGTTTGGTTTTTCCGCTCCGATATTCTGATAAAGGCTTAACGTTTTAACACGTGGCAGTAACATGCCAATGGTTCTCCTCTATTTTATTTTAAGTAATGGGTTTGGAAAAGGGATAATTATTGGGGTGTTACATATATAGTGCAAGGAATAACAAAAACAATCCTACGGTTGTAAATAAGCCACGCCACATAATTCGCAAAATTGTAGAAAATAGGGGCATTTGAGTTCGGGCAAACAACCAAGCAGGTTTGGCCGAACTTTTTTCCCATGACTTAGAGTCACTTTTCCCTTTTAAGGGTACAGGTAAACTTTCTAATAAGCTGACCATTTTTCATAAAAAGCCATAACTTTCTTATTTCTTATCCAAATCAATCTTATAACTAATCGTTGGAAAGCTTTTGAGATAAGCTATCGATCACCTCCAACATGAATCATCTCAATATCATGTCTAGTTTTTGAGATATGCTCATTCGAAGTCAGCTCTTAGCCATCAATCATTGCTTAGAGATTAGCACTAAGCTATCAACCCATAGCTTAACTCCTAAGCTATGCATCCTTATGCCTTGAATCATTATTCGCACCTTCAAAACCTAGCAGGTGCATGGGTAAACCTTGATATGCTTAGGCTTTATTTTCTTTACCTTACAACAATAATATTTATAGTAAAAATAATGAATTATAACCTCAACTCCTCAAGTAAAAATAAATTAAGGTTAGTACAAATAATTTTAGTGCAATAAATAACCTTACAACAATGGTAATTAGTAAAAAAAAACAAGTATAACTTCAAGTAAAATTAAATTAAGTTAAGTAAATAATTTAAGGTCAATAATAATATGTTAAGATAAGAAAAAATAAATTTCTTTCAGAGTAAATATATTTTAATTCAGTAACAAAATAGTAAATTCAAACAACAAATATAATGGGATATCATTAGAAATATATTTTGATAAGTAAGTTAATTTATGTTCGGTAAAAATACTTTAATTTCAACAAAATTAATTTAATATTAATAAAAATAATTTAAGATCAAGTTTAATAAATTTCAAGTGGCATAAAATATCAGAGATTTATTACAAACATAATTATTTGAAAGTCAAAAGTCACCCCAGTATGATTGTATATTTATTCTTATAATAACACTAAATAATTATACAAGAGTTGTGATTTTTAGTGGGTATGTACATAAACTACATAAGTCAATCATACAATCTTGAAAGAGTTTGGAGGATCACAATACTACTCGTAGTAAGTGTAACTACATCAGATCAGTAACTACTTCCAAATTTATCTTTTTCTCCCTCTTATGTCCTACATCTTATCACTAATCTTATTCATATGGATGATTGCAATTTAAGTTTATTTTAGCAATTCAAGTAATTCGTAATATGCTTTTTATCATTGTAAGGATGAATTAGGTTCTATCTATGGTAGAGATGGTAGTTTCCGGAAAAAAAAAAAGGAAAAAACCACTTTTTAATAATGGATGTTTGCTTTCGAACGTCAAATGATTTGAATAATTATGTGATCTTGAGTTTAATTTGTTGGTAGATTAATTAAGGGAATTGTTTTATGTAAATTTGCTTTTTCTTTTATTAACTAGTATAGAACCCGTGTAATTGCATGGCTTTAAAAGTTCAAATATTAAATCTCACAAAATCTAAGTTATAGTTTACTTAATGCACAATAGTGAAAGACATAATTAACTTAATGTGTACCCATTTATCACAATACTCATTACCATATTTGCAATTCAATGTTTAAAAAAAAAAATTACATAGAAACAAAGGTATGAATAAGGTTTATTTTCTTTATTTATAAATTTTACCTTTTAGATCAAAATGATTTACGCCATTCACATATCTCATGCAATATCTTTCATGTGTATTTTTGTTTTAATCAAGATAATTAAGAAAGGAAAAACTCATTCCATAACCATACATACACTTGGTATAACATTTGAGGGTATTTAGGAACTAAATAGAGGTCTTTAGTTTCCATACTTGCATTCACCTTACACATACTTTAGAACTCAAATATATTTTCTCATCACTTGATTGTAAGTCATTATTGATAATACCTACATTATCATGAGGTTGGGCTAAAATTGCTCATTCTTGAAAGTATTTTATATCCCATAAATTCTGCAAAATAGAAGGATAAGTACTTTCTACGATAGCTTCAACTAAAATAGATGCTTTCAAAATTGCTTTTTCATCAGGGATTACTATAATTCCTTCACCGTCAATTGGATCCCCTAACTTACCATCTCCAACTAAATACACTTTAATAAATCTATTGATTTTCTTCCAATGGTGAACCGGCGGTAAGTAGCTAGCTACTACGAATGTACCTCAAAACATAATAAGCTAATATCCTTTTGTTTTTAAGATTCAAGTCCTGTCCATCAATTATATATGAATAGATAATTTATTAGATCCATTGGTAATCATGATACTATTATCATAAATATAAATATTCTAAAAGAAATGTGTTTAATATTAAATTTATTGTATCTAACTTATTATTAATAATATTATAATGCTATCATAAATTAATAATT